GTAGTGAATTCATTGAAGACTAATTCGATAACATAATATATAATATTTATATATAGTTATTCAATTTAATTCTTTTAGTATTCGAGTACATGAAAAATCTACACTTAGGTATGTAGTATTAGTATACAAAAGTATGGTTTCAGAAATTAATTTTTAAAGATTTCCTTTATCATTTTTAAAATGAGTTCGGATACATAACAATAATGTTTTACAGTTTTAGGTAAAAGTTTTTTTTCTGTTTTACTTTACATATTTTAGAGCTTATTAGCGATATCTAGAGGCCATAAGACCTAATGAATACTGAAGAGGTTGGCTCTTAACAATTAATTGTCTCCCAAAAACTTTTATGCAACTTAAATATACCTACTTCATTTAAAAAATATGTGGGTCATTATGTATTATATTAAATTTTTAATAATGCAATATATTTATTTTCACCCTGATCTTTTTTTCAAACTTATTCGAAAAAGTACCTGTATTACGTATTTGTATGATCTTTAATTTCATCGTACCCATGACCGTTGGCCCCAAACTTGTCTTCTATATGTTTCTTTTATATATAACTCTCTATTTTCCAGGTACAGTCGAGTAAATAACTATAATTTTACCTGTTAAATCTGATCGCTTGGGTACACAGGAAGCCGTAATGCCGTTAGGGCTGCAATTCGTTTGCGCAAAAAAAAACATTACTTGATTGCCCACACACGCCTGTCACGTAAAACCCTACAAAGTTAACTCGTTTGAGCACGGATGTAAGAAGGTAGGTGGGTTTTTGCACTATTTATTATCCAACGATTAGGTAACGATTCATCGGACAACACAATCACCAACGAATATTATTTAAACAATAATATAAGTATTAAGTATATAGTATAGATACCTAGGTAAAAAATTTTTTTTTTATTAGAGCTCCTTAGTATAAAATATTATAACTCCACAAATCACAATTAAGATATAAATATATGTAATAATAAAATATAAATACTGTTGGAGGTTTGGAATGTTTAACACCAAAACACTTTCAATTATATTATATAAAATAAAACTGAACTAACAATTTTAAAAATAATATAATTATTTTTATACAAGTAATATAATATGACCTACATTAGCTACAAATAATAATATATCATTATTTGAAAAAAGAGAATTTCTTTTTAACTTTAATTTTTTTATTACAGTATAATCTATAAAATAATAATTTACAAGAAGTGCACGGCGGTGCAATGTTGGATTGGTTGCGTTTCTCAATGCCATGATACCAAATCTAAAATTTGAATTTGCATATTTCATACAATGAAACTGCTTGTTTTTACGTTATTGCGCTTAATTTGCATATTTAAGAAAATTTTTCGAAATTTCAACTTCACAAATTTCACCCGATCTAAAAAAGAAAATAGTGATGCAGCTGTTACTCGCAGTTTTATGTACCTATTTGCTATACACAACTCACAACTCCTTATAATTTTCGTGGTTTGAAAATATTATGATGGCCTGATTGCCCGTATCGTTACATATTATATAATATGTTGTGACACGAGTGATACGATAATTTTAATATATTGCAGTTATTAAAGTTATTAAAGGTTCTTTCTTTGAAACTAAAGGTATTCCCGGTAAATGTAAAATTATTTATTTATTGATTTAAATGAAAAATTTAATTTTTAATTTTTCCCATCATTATATAGTTGACGAATAAAATTCAAAAACCTCGGAAATTTAAGAAACAAGTTGACAATCAGTAGATTTTTAAATTTTTTATATTAAGTACACTAATTGTAATAAATAATTATTAATAAAATAATAAATAATAATAAATATATTAAATGCATATTTTAAATTTTTTTATGCATATTTTATGGTTTTTAAGTGCTATAATTCCCGAACCCTGGTTATAGGTATTTCATTAATCTCCGATCTACGGATAGAGTATAATATCTATACTATTCTGTGGTATGATGAAATTAAAATAAATACATTTGACTTCGAAATAATATGTGATTATTCCGTTGATACAAAATCGTAGACATTTAAGTCGTATTATGTGACTGATAGCGTCCACCATTAAGTTTTAGGTACCTATAAATTATATAATTTAGGTACCTACTTAAATGTACCTACGACTTGAGAAAATCTAATGAAAAATGATAATTTACTACTTCTAAGTTACAAATATTAATACTTTACATAGGTACTCATAACTCACTTAAAAATTAAAATATCGTACAAAATCCATTGAGAGAACACATGCTAAAAATTATTTATACACTTACTTCTGCACCAGTATTCGCCTATTTATAGCTAATCATATAATCATAAACACTAGAATATATCTACCTACGTAGTACGTCCTATACATCATACATAGAACCTATAGGATATATATGGATGTTTTTACTGTATAGGTAATATATAATTAAACACTTACTATGGATATTAATCCGACGATGATGGTACCGAGACGTAAAGGCAACCATGTACAAAATGTAAACATCAACGGCATTTTGCATTAATTGAAACGTAAGCATAACCATTGAATTGAAATCATTAGATCGATATTAACAGCTTAATATTTATAGGTATGAACATATATCTATAGCGTTCAGGAATTCAGGATATTCAGACTTTATTAACACAAACACAATAAATTGTTGTACATTATAGACATTATACTTGTTATTGTTGTTAATATATATTATTTAGCTATACAGTGACGTACACCAGAGGCGTATTTATATATTTACCGTTTATAGGCCTGTGGAAAATTGCTGCCCTTAATTATGGTAAAATAAAATTTAATTAGGTAGGTATGCAAAAAAATTTTTAATTATATTTTAAATACAAAAACATAATAATTAAAGTTGAAAAATATTAGAAAAAAAAAGGAATTACAAAATGTTTATATTTATATATATTCTAAATTTCTTACATACTAAATTATTTATTTAACGATCGGTTTACGTCAACATTTGGTTTTTGCAAATGCGACAATTATATCCTCGCAATTTAATTCTTGTAAATTTTCATTTTCTATCGAGAATAATGCTAAGCTGTTAAACTTCTCATCAGTTTGAGTGGACCTCAAGTAGTTTTTTACACGTTTGGGGCATGAAAACGATCTCTCGGTAGTACAATTGGACACTGGTACATTTACGAAAATTCTTAATGCAGTGTCAACATTTGGAAATATTTCAATATGTAAAGATTTTTCTCTCAAATACTGACACAGTGTGATTGGAGTTAAACTATCGATGTCAATATCCATATTACTATTCAGTAAATAAGATTGCAAATGTAAGCATTCTGACGAAAAAGTATTATCCAAATCATTCGGGTACATTTTTTGTAATTTCTCAGCGGACTGAACTATTTTCAAAAAATTTAAAGATGTAATTTTTAGTAGTACTTCGAATAAATCACAAAACGTTTTGTAGGACTGGTGTCTTTTTTCAAGTTGAAAAAATTGGATTATACTATTATTGTCAATTGTTATAAATATGTATACTGTAGACGCTCACTGGCCGCTAGTTACGCTAATTAGAAAATAAAAGTAACTTAACTTAGTTTAAAAATCAGTTACTTTTTTCATATACCTACAATTAATAATACATTTTTTTAAAGCAACCAACTATTTGTATTAAAAATAGTTGCTGTAGGTACTTAATAAATAATAATATATACTTTAATACTCTAATCAATGATTAAATCCAATAAAACAATTAAATACAATAATTATTGACAAATATAATGTCAAATATTATTCAATTAAGCTGTAATTATATGAATGAATACAGTAATAAATGTGATAATAATACAGATTAATAAAAATATTAATGAGTTTACAAACTTTGTAAGGTGTATCGGACATTGAGTAAATAAATACCTAGTTATATTTTGTCTTATCTCATTGACATCAGTCGCCCTTATATTTGTTCTGTTCATAATACATAAAATAATATATTCTGCAAATATACAATATTATAACTATTATCAATCATTTTCATATGTTAAATAATATTATCTTTATTAACATATATATTTTTTTTATAAAATTAATTGTTACAAAATAGAATATATAATTTTAAATGTATGGTTTTAGGAAAAAAATAAACTTAAAGTGACAATTAAATTAATTAACTCATAAATTACCTACTGGAAAAAAAATTGTAAACGTTAGAAGTTACTTAAAATAAAAACAAGGAACTCATAATATTATTATTATACTATTTATTGTAACAAAAATAGTGTGCTTATGTATTTTTAATTTGTTTATAATGCTTTCCTCATCCAATTTTAAATTTCATGGTTTCATTTTAATACATGCAAGCTGACCAGATTCATAATTTTATATTCTTATTTAAATTAACATTATTTTATGTAATAATATGGAACCTTTACTACTTTATTAATATTTGTATTGTCTTTAAATATTTTAACTGTGGCGAGTTGTAAAGTAATTTTCTTACGACACTAGTGCATTATAATTGTTGAGGTATAATAGTTTTATTTTTATACTAGTAACTAATAACATTTCAATTTAAATATTTCTAAAATTAAATTATCAACTCATGACTAATTAGCCATGGTTATTGATCTGAAATCGTCTTTTTACTCTCAGTATGCTAATCGTGTGAGAAAAATTGAACATTTTTTTTCATGTTAAATGAACTCTCCGAATAGCTATAATAGATGTCAATTTAATGCTAGTTTAGCCGTGGTTATCGATCGAACAACTGAGCGCCACAACTTCCTGCTTTGGTTTGAAAAACTCTCAAGGATTTATACGCAAATAGTTCACACCAAATAATCTAAAATGCATAATATGATATTAAAATGACTGCCGCAAAAATTGTCTTTATTTATATCTATTATTCTAATCAGCGCTGAAATGGCATTATATCATGTGGTTTAGGTCTTTTCCAACTGGCAAAAATGATAAGTTCACCACAATAACTATAGGCTATCATATTTGGTTTTATTGTGTTCAATATAAAAGCGCTGCAAACGCATAGAGCAGCATCAGTCGAGTACATTTTTCTCTCCGCTCAATATATATAGGTCCTGTACTATTATAGGTGTATATTATAAATTCTAAAGTAAACACTGAAATTATAGTAGTTTATACAGACACTGGTAATTATATATTTATCATTATTATACATTTATACATGAGAATTATAAAACTTTTTAATAATATAATTTGTATATTATATACTTACGTATTATAATATACAATTTTGGAAATAATATTATAATATATTATTATTCAAAGTTAAAACAATTTTGAGCAAAAACGTTGTGTCAGAGTATATTTCTTAGTATATATTTTATTATATAATAATTTTACAATTTATCAGTAATACCTATACTAATACTGTTGAACTATTATTTTCCAAAAACGAATACCATATATTTTATAATTATTATTTTTATACTATTTCATACAATATCACTAGGTATATTTGTTACTAACTTTAACCTAAACTTATTATTTTTCAATACCTTGAAAAAATCTGGGATAGGTTCATAGTTTTAGATAACATCAAATTATTCTAAATATTTTGAAATTGTCATTGTTTACTTAATACATATATAGTACAAATTAATAAAAGTAATGATAAAAAGTTAATAATTTTTTTTAATTAAAACAAAATTATTTAAATCTTTATTTTTCGTTTAAATATGAATAAAATAACTTCAAATATTTTAGGGAAAAAATGAGCCAGTATATTTTCAATATTTTGAAAATTCAATAAGTAATACTTCTGAGAAATCTTGATTTAAATTTTCAAGCCGAGAATTTTGTTACCGAGCATAAATCTTTTCATCAACATTATAATTATTAAAACGTTTATTTTCTTAATAAATACCAATAAACTATATGTTTATACAATGTAACATTGTAAAGTGTATTAAAATATTGAATTACAATGTGTACTAAGATTTATTATAAATAATTGAATAAAATTACTTTTATTATATATGTGCAATAGAAAGGATATAAAAAGAAATACTATGGCGGACAAAAATAATATTTTGTACTTGTTCGATCGTCCAACTGAACCTATATTCATTGGAAAAGGCGATGACAATGTGTCTTTCGATGTACCCACTGAATACCTGGTGAGTAAAACAAGTATTATTTTTTGTAAATTATAATAATTATTATTTATCACAAATGTGTAAGCAATCGATTCGAATTCAAATAAAAACAAATACTCTAGCTAAAGTTTTCATATATTATTAATTATGACAATGGTTTTCGACCTTTCAATAGTAAATACTATTCGATACCATAAAAATATCGACACAAAACCAGCCAAACCATTTGAGTACTTATGTAACTTACAATTGTTGTTGTGTTTTATTTTAATTTATTCAGACCGACCGTTATAAGCCATTGGCGTCGGATATCCAAACTCGTTTTCCCGGCGGTAAAACAGTTCCAATAACTAAGTTGAACAATATTCCTGACTTGTCGATTCCACTGGGACTTAAGAGAGATGTGCCGTTTTCGCTTTTCAACCCGTCCCACAGTAAAATGGCTGGCAAGCTCATTGAGATTCTAATGAGTTAGTATACATTTATTATATTATATAAAATTATGCACCATGCTCGTGCAGTATAGGTATAATTATATTTAAAAACATTTATGTTCGGTTGAACATAATATAGTGTAATAGTACATATTTAGTACATTGGTACTATCTACTTACGAAATAATAACATAATATTTTTAATTATGGGTTATAATTTATTTCTGCGTTATTTTCAGACGCGAAATCCTACGACGATCTCTTGTCGCTTTCCGTGTATTGTCGAGACCGGATCAACCCGTACATGTTTACTTACGCATTGTCCGTAGTGTTGATACACAGACCCGACACTCGAAATTTGAGACTACCATCTCACTCCGAAATGTTTCCAAGTCTGTATATGGACTCTTCAGTGTTCGCCCGCGCCAGAGAAGAATCCGCTGTGGTCCAAGCCGGTTCTAGGGTAAGTGTTATCTCGCCCGTAGTGCTTCTATCTGTATATCTATAATACTTATAAATTAATACTGTGAACAAAGCTTGGGTAATAAGGTGATAAGTGAAAAATCACTTCTTTTAAAAAGCATCTAATTTTTATATTGACTCTAGTAAAATTTTAATTTTTTATAAATGACCTAAGAAGAAAAAAATCCAATATTTTTTTAATGAAAAATAGGTAAGTATGTAGAACGTTATTTTCTATACAACAGCAATAATCAAAAATTGGCCAAATATAAGTTTTTCCTCGTAACGTCCAATTAAAAAAAAAAAAAAAATACCTGAAGTAAAATTGTACGTACAGAATCATGAGATCGTAAAATAAGAATTTTAGTGTATATAGGTAATACGTACCTTTATATAAAAGCTATTTTTTTGACCGACCACTAAAAATATGCAAAATGCTTAAATCATATATATATATATAATACCTAATAATACTTACATCTATGATCTATGAAATTAATATGGTTACAATATTGAATATATAATATAATATTTTATTGCAACAGACTCCCATCGAAATACCTCACGATTATTCTGCCAACAACCTGGATGCGGAGCACAGGATTAGCTATTTCCGAGAAGACATCGGCATTAACCTTCATCATTGGCATTGGCATTTGGTTTACCCATTTGACGGACCACTCAACATTGTAAATAAGAACAGGCGTGGTGAATTATTTTTTTACATGCACCAACAGATTTTAGCTAGGTGAATAATAATAATTAGATAAAAAATAGTTGTTTAAGTATACATTGTATGAGTTGATTTATAAACTTACATACAACTGTATATAATATTGATATATGTATTTATACGTTGAACTTAGATACAACATGGAGCGGTTAAGTAATAGTATGAATAGAGTAGTTCGTTTAACCAACTGGGAACAACCGATTGCAGAAGGTTACTTCCCAAAATTGGATAATATTCTAGCCAATCGCGTGTGGCCCCCTAGACCAGTTAATGCTGTACTTCAAGTAATATCTTAATTTAATATACTATGTAACACAGATACTATGTATCGACGTATCGAACATAACGATTTTTTTTTTTGTAAACAACAGAATATTAGCAGAGAAGTAGAACAAATCACGTTTGACATCGAAGATCTTGTGCGTTGGAGAGACCGAATATTCAATGCTATTCATTCTGGATTTATTATTAACGTAATTATGGACTTAAATTAAAAATACAACAGTGATAGGCTTGAGTTCAACAATAGTTTTATGATAATTGTATATCATGGAAAAGCCTACTCGGTTAAATATGTTTAACAAGTGAAATTTTAATATCAACACATTTAAAACAATATAATGGAAATATTTAACGGCTTTATAAGCCATTAAAAAAATAATAACTGTGTATATACTTTTCCTATTATATCAAACTAGCATATTATAATAGAATCTCTAAGCTTTAACGGTGTTAAGTATAAAATATTTTATTTCATTACAGACTGCAGGTCAACAAGTCAGATTAACCGAAAATGAAGGAATAGACATATTGGGAAATCTTATCGAAGCTAGTATATTAAGTCAAAATCCAAATTTGTACGGTTCTCTTCATAATAATGGCCACAACGCAATTGCTTATATTCACGATCCTGATAATAGATTTTTGGTAAGAGCATTTTTTTTTTTTTTGTTTTATTAATATAATAATTGTATTTCAATAAACACCTACCTATTGTACCAAAAACTTAATTATTTTCAGGAAAACTATGGCGTTATGGGAGATTCGGCGACAGCTATGCGGGATCCAGTATTTTACCGTTGGCACGCATATATTGATGATATATTTCAAGAATTTAAAGCTACAATACCCAGTTATAACGTTCAAAATGTAAAAACCATATCATAATATACATACATTTTTTAAATCGTTCATTAACATTTAATTTTTTTTAGTTGGGCTTCGACAACGTAGCTGTGTCAAGCGTAGAAGTAACAGCTACTGGGTTGCCGCGTAATGAATTTGCGACGTTTTGGCAACAAAGTGACACCGACTTATCGAGAGGCTTAGACTTCTTGCCACGTGGATCGGTATTTGCAAGATTTACTCACTTACAACACGCTCCATTCAGTTATAGGATTGTAGTAAGTACTAACTTATATATTTTATCATCATAATATTGTAATTAACTATTTAGTTTCAAATGAATAATGCTTTTAAATTAAAAATATCTCAACCTACTTTACACAATATGTTTACAGTAGTAGGCTATAGTTTTTATCAATCGGAAATCATAGAGTAATTCAACTCCAATCGCCTTTCGAGTTTTATAAAATAAATGTATAAAATGTGGCTTACCGAAAATTAGTAATTATTTTATTTGTATAAATAGGTTGAGAATAATGGAAATCAACGAATTGGAACAGTTCGTATCTTCTTGGCACCTAAATTTGATGAACGTGGTTTACCATTCTTATTTAGAGAACAAAGAAAACTTTTTGTTGAACTTGACAAATTTAGTACATCATGTAAGTGTCTTCATGATTAAAAATATTATTTATTTTCTTAGATAATGCATTATGCTGAATGCTGATTATTTATTTTGCTTATCTATTTGAGAAACTAAAAAATTAAAACCAATTTAGTGTGTATTGAGAAAATAATATAGCTGTCACATTAAAGCAATTTCGAAAACCCTAGCCATCAATTATCACATTATTAAATTAAAGGATTGCCAAACTACCATTGAATTAATGTTTGATAATTAATTTCCTAAAATATAATCTCAAACTTATTGTCACATGCATTGTCAAACTATTTTTTATAACATAGATGATATATGTAAATTAAAACCAAGGGAATATAAAATGACATGATAATATTAAACATATAACATAATCGAGAAATATCCATGAATATATATTATATGTAATAGGTATACTTATACATAAAAATAATCGAAACGGTTGTATTTTTTGATTCGACCAAAAATTGAATTATTTTATCAGTCTTTAATGGTATTGATGCATATAGTATAAATTATTATAATCATTTTCCAAATTATAATTAAATGCTTTCGATCACATTAAGAAATATTTTAACTATATTGATTACTCAATTACTTTATGAATATGTGTACAGTAAAAAGGGGAAGAAACGAAATCGTTCGTCGATCAATTGAATCATCAGTAACTATACCACATGAAATAACGTATAGAAACCAAGGAAGTAATAGACCGGCTGCCAATTCAGATGCAGCGCCAATGTTCAACTTCTGTGGTTGTGGATGGCCACAAAACATGTTGATAGCCAAGGGGTCGTCCGAAGGGTTCCAGTGTCAATTGTTTGTTATGGTATCTAATGGCGAGATTGATCAGGTATGTATTTCAAATACGATTATTATTTATTTAAGATTAAAGGGTTAAAACAATCGACATTATAGTATTATACGTATACAGTCATACAGGTACTTATTATACCTTAATTCATAAATATCTATATTACAGATTAGGTAGTCTACTAAATTTTCCCACATTTTTCCATAAATCTAACATACCTAGCAAAACAGATAAACACTCGGTGTATATACTGTAGATCATATTATATTTATAAATCGATAACAAAACATCTAGACTTTAAAAAAAACTATGATCATCATAATGATGTCATATTGACATCACACTTTTATGTGGAGTTATCATAGGTTTACATTAATATGTACATATTATAAACAATATAGGAACATTTTACCGACCTACCAGAAGAGGCACGATTTGGGTGCGCAGTCCTAAGATACGGAAAAATATCTTCATACTGTGTTACTTTATCATAAAAAAAATATGTTTGATATTAGGCACGTAGTCTTATAAAAGCAAAAGAAATATATTATTATTAAAGCTGAATACAGCATGTATTATATTATAGGTTGTTAACTCTTAATGTTGTCAGTGTCAACAGACAATCTGGTACCATAGTTTATTTTTTATTTTTATGGGTGTATTAATTAATACTAAATTTGTTTCACTGTTCATCTTTAATAATAATTTAGTGCACTTACCTTTCCTAAAATGACATCAATCATAATATTAGCCATTAGGTACTTATATACAGTAACTCAAGTACCTTCTTACAAGTTACAAGGACTGTTTTATACTATAAATTATAAAAATACAACTCGATATTGTCCGCAACAGGTGGCGAACGCTCAAGGGGACGGGCAAACTTGCGACGACGCATCGAGCTACTGTGGTGTCCTGAACTCACGTTATCCGGACGCCAGATCCATGGGCTATCCATTCGACCGTACACCTCGGGACGGCGTGGTCACTCTCCAACAGTTTTTGACGACCAACATGGTAGTACAAGACGTACGCATCCGTTTTAGCAACCGTACGGTTGCTCCGTTGCAAAACGCTACAGCGAACAGACCGACCGCGGCTGCAACCACGGGAGCCAGTGCTAATAACAATAGGAGGAACTGAGAACTTCTCGAATCGTAGTGGATACAACACGCACGGTTAAGACACCTAAACCTTTAATTAAATAATTAAGTCTATAAACAGTATGGTGTACACAGTAGTCGATGTATTGACATGAACAGTTTAACAAATCCTAAGGAGGGTCACCTAGTTTAGTTTCTCTATTTTTTAAATATTATAATATTATTACTTACATTGACTAAAAGATTTTAACCCCTACGCGTGCGTGTTAATATAGTAGTGTCTCGATTTCATTTCACTACGTTATTATATAATATTATGTATCCATTCGATTTTGTATCAATATAATATATTTATTAATGTATTATGCATACCCACATACTAATAGTATACTGTATACTACATACACATTTACAAATCTACATTCTACAATGCACACATTATAATTAATAATAATAATTATTACAGTTACATATTATTATACCTTCGTAATAAATCATATAACATATTTTAAACCAATTATTGGCTGTATTTTAATTATATATATGCATATGTGTTTTATAGATGTGAATACTATAATGCTTAATGCGTATAGTATACCGACTTATTAGTTACTACTTATAAATATAATATGAAAAAGATTAAAAACAGTCAGAATACTTACAATAATTAAGTCAGTCGAGGTATGGGAAGTTATATTATTATAATAATAGTATCAAAATACTAAGTAGGTGCTTATTTACAATATATTCTAGCCAGTATCTCATTGTGGCTTATAAGCCAATTATTAAACCTTGTTTACATAAAATGCAAAAACACATAAATTCTAAACTAGAATAGATTATGATCTAGATTTCGATTTCACTTAAATAATCATACAGATTATAAATTTATAAAAATAGTTATTTTTACATTACACAATAAATTATCTTCTGAACAGGTAGGTGTTATGTATATAACTAGCTCAGTTTCTCACCAGTCGTAGAATGATGTAAGGATCAAGGATGTAAGGACAAAGGAGTAAGGATGAACTTTAAGAATGGTTTAATTGTTCAATGTTTATTAACAAAATATCATTAGTGTTCAAGAGGAAAAATATTTAAAGTCCGTCTAAATTACAGTAAAAATTGTAGTGACCAGTAATGTGCTGTAAGTACTGCAGTCGCAATCACTGTAAATATACACGTCTGAATAAAGTGATAATCCACAAAAATTATTTCCGTTGACAGCAATGAACTTTCTTCAACAAAAGTCGTTTATCGTCGTCGTAGGTATCTCCACTATTCAGGGGCGGAGTGGCTCAACAATTCTTACCGGGCAAACAGATATTTTCGGGCCACATACATTTATTTCAAATTTAATTTCTTACCATTTATTGTCTTATTGCTAGATGTATGCTTACCATTTTTTGATTGGGTGAAGTATAAAACAATTTAATAATATTGGTGGTTCACATATCACATTATTAATTTGTTTTCGTTGTTTTTACAGTCATCAAAAATAGCTAAATATTTTAAATATTAATTATTTTCATCACACCAGGACCAGGCCACTTCTTATATAAGCAAGCCAGGCCACCGGGCATTGTCCCGGTTGCCCGTCGGGCCACTCCGCCCCTGCCACTATTCCATTAATAAGTACGGTACTTAAAGTACGTATGTCCTTGTGTGGCAATGCGATTCTGGAAAGATCCCAAACTATTATAATTATTATTTTCCGCGTTCGCGTAGCACATAGCGCTAGATTTAAACATGTTTTCTGGAAGGAAAATGAATCTAGTTAGTACTTTGGACCGTCAAAAGTAAAAAGTAGTTATAATATTTCTGTATATTAGCCATTATGTGTCTAGAGAGTCACTGTAATGGATGTGTTAAATTTGAAATTTGAATTCAATGTTATGAAAAAGGATTCTGAGCGAAGACAATCTACAATGGCCTATTATAATATTACTATGTAGGTACCTGCCTATATTTTACTATTAGACATTAGTACTACAATAGTAATAGTAGATAGGTTAAATTTATTTTTGTCGAAAAAATTGAATTTGAAAATGTCAATGTGTGTATAATATATTCTAACGAAAACACTTAGTCGAAATCCATGTCAAAAATTGCTAAGTCAAAAAAAAACTAGTTTGCCCCAACGAAAATAATGTTATTGACATATTTATTGTAAAGAAAAAACTAATAAAAACGAAAATAAAAAATATCCTTTGACAGTACAAAATGGGTCAAAATATTTTGAAAATGTTATCAAGACGTATAGATGCATGCTGATTTCTGAATTTAAGAATACGACTGTAGGTACAGTAAACTGTTACCCAATGACCTATAAAGCGTCGACGATAAGATGTGCACTGAAATCTGAATCCAGAAAATTAGACTGTGATATTTAGGTTACTAAAATACCAGGGGCGGACTGGGCCGGCGGGAAACAGGGAACTTTCCCGGTGGGCCGCTGTTCAAAAATAATTTGTTATTATTACATTACTTATAACTTAAAATAAAATAGCCAATAGGTATAAATTCAAATGATGAATATTTTATATTTTCATATTATCATAACGCACGTGTATGAAAAATTGTTTACATTTGGTTTTTAAAAATAGATTTTAGGTTTTGGTTCGGCTGATACTCCATCAGGAGTTTGCGTAGGATCAATAATTTGAATAATATATTATTTTAGCAATGCAAGAAAATCTTTGCAATCAACCGCAAATAAGCATTAAAAATGTAAATACCTATCTATTACCTAAAATCATTATTTTTCCCTAACATTTTTTTTAAATAATAGGTATGCAATATGAATATAATTTATTTCCAAAGGAAAAACGAGTTAAATCTAGGTATAAATAATAAAAGTTTATATACTACTATTTTAAAAATACTAACATTAATTTAAAATTCAGCTAGAAGCTGATTTAAAAAGAAAACTATCAAAAAAATTAAGGATGCCCAATAATGAATGCAAAACAATTTGTGAAAACAAATGATTGAATAATTTCAAGACAAAAAAGAAAAACAAAGAAATCAAAAAACTTATTTTGACAACATTTCGGTTTTTGGTGATGCTGCTTGTAGCATCGTATGTACCAGGATCGCACGTGCTAGTCGCTATTCATCTTCGATTTTGTCTGCGGCGGCGGCATCAGCGGCGACGGCATTTGCGACGGCGGCAGTTGTTACTGCCACTCGTTCAGCGGTATGAACTCCTGGTACATGCGTGTTCTGATGTACCTCCGTCATGATTTCTACAACGTTCCTGCAATGTTCCTACAACGTCCCTGCAACGTTCTTTCAACGTCAAATGAAACAGCAGTGTAAAAAACAAATCGTCCCGTGGTTTTCAGCGAATTGTATCATTCTAATTACGTTCATTATGATCATATTAATATATTATTACTTATTAATTATTTTTCAATTTTCATTAACAATAAAACGTATGAGGAATTTTTTTCAAGTATTTTGACCAATCAAACATTTTTTATCAACATTAATTTTAAAACTAATACAAAACGAAAATTGTATATGCCTATAATTAGTTTCACATGATATTTTGGAAATGTTGTGGTGTGTAGAAAATGGTAATATAAAAGTCTAGAAAAAATTTGCATATATCTATATTAATTTTTTTAAGATTTAAGCCAAAAACCAGAATCGATTTCATCAAGTATTTCCTCTTTTTTTACAAAAATTATTTTTTGTTAGAAATTCGTAAAAACTTTTCTTTTTATATCTAAGACTTAAAAATAAGTAATGCCTATAAGTTTTTCTACCTTTACCAAAAACAAAAGTGATTACCTAAAAGTATCAATTATTTGACTCATGAGCGTTTAGAGTTATTTTTATGACATTTGATATAATCACAAATATGAAATAATAATAAGTGATTTTCTTATTTTGTATGGTAATTAAAAAACAAATAATAGCAGATACATGATAAAATTTTAAAAACTAAATGACTTTTTTTGAGTTATTTACAGACATTTAAAATTTGAATCTCAATAAAAATGTTTCACTTGGTCAAAAAGCTTGAACATTTAATACAATGTTTCTCAAAGGTTATCATAATTACAGTTTAAATATTAAAGGTACCTTAGGTACCTAAGTAACCACAATTTTTTCACAAGCATGTAAAGTTCAAATTTTGCAAATTATTTTGTAGGTAGTTAAAAATGTATAAAATGTAAAATTTGTATAGCTATAAGGATTGACAATTTATATATATTATTATATATATTATAGGCTTACAGTCTATATTCGTTCAAAATCATTTTTAGTTTACAGATGACATACAGTGATTTATCATTGAAATTTAAGTTAACACAATAGGTACATTATTGTGACTAAAATATTGGCCATATATCCGTCTCCGTTCAGAAGTTCAAAATCGTTTTTCGTATAGGTACACGGTACACCAATAATGATTTATCACTGTCCATTATTGAATTCAAATTTATAACACATACTTTTTCCAGTTACCACTTACGACTCTTATATTTACGAATACCATTATAGCTATATAACTATATTACGATTAAGTGCAGTCGTGCAAACATGCAGTAACATCCATCATAAATGAGTACGACTAGTACGAGCACTCGAAAAGTCAATACTTACTATACGCCTAATCTCTAATGTCTGTACAGCAGACCGAGTTCATCGATTTTAAAAATATTTTACCGTAAGGGAATTAAAATGAATACCTATGTTAGTTTTATCCAATATTTTTCTTGTCACAATTTAAAAAAAATGTAAGACTTTTCTAGAAAAGTAGAGAACAATGGTGTATGTAGTTTTTTAAGGTCTAAAATATAAATGATTGTATTCTATCAGACTTCTCATCTCCTTTCTTTAGTACCAAAACGATTCGCGAACGTCACTATTTTTTTCAAATAGAACGTGAACAACGTTTATATTTTTAATGAATTTGAACCATTTTTAAGACATTTTTATATTTACCATTTAATAAATAATATTGATTACATTTTACAAAAACATTTTTCTATCATAATATTTCAATTATATTATTTAATATTTATACTTATTTGATTACGAATTATAAAATAAAATATATGAAATTCCAGTGAGCACGGGTGTACGGCTCGACATACAACAAATTATGATTTCCACGATTTCGTAAAAGTAGGTAGGTATTTATAAACGGTTTATAAAAATTAAATAAATAATTTTTCAAAAAACAAATTCAATTTTTTAGCGAACGTTCTGAACACTTCCAAAACCATCCCTGGAGGCTGGACGGGGGCTTAAGAGTTCCCCCCCCCAATGAAATTTTGTTTAGAGTATTCCGTGTGTCCGTCCGAATTGTACAGTGTACACCCTAAAGCTCAGTTACCTAGGTTAA